GCCGTGGTCCGTGCGCGGACGTGGACCGGCTGCGCCCCGGGGAGGAGGAGGCGGCGTGTCTGCAGGTCTTCGCCGCCGTCACTCTTTGAACTCGCCTCCGCAGCGCGGGGCCTCTGCGTCCCACCTGGGACGCTGGGGCGGGGCAGGGGAGAGGAGGGAGCCGCAGAATGCGACGCCTTTGACGCTGCCTCCAGCTGGCCGGCCCGAGTCAGTCTTGATGGCCTCTTGTCCTTGTCTCATTGGAGTCTTTCCCTTTGTAATGTTGTTTATTATTTTACTCGGCAGTGAGGATCCGGGCGCCTTCGAGGCCTGCAGCTCCGGCTCTCCCGCGTTTCCTGCACCCTGGTCTACACGAAGGGCAGCAGCGGGGACCTGAGGACAGTCTCGGAGGCCCGAGGACGGTCGCACCAGCCTGGCTGTGGGGGGAGCAGCAGCGAAGCCATCTGGGGGCGGTTGAGGCGGGACGCGGGGGCCAGCACCGAGGCCGGTCTCCGAAAGGCGACAGTGCTGGGACCTGAGCCAGCCGGTGCCCCGAGGCTGCCCTGGCCGGCGGGTCTCCTTCCTCTCCCTCGTCGGCTCCTCAAGCAGAGCCCGGCCCTGCCAGCGGCTAGCGGCGGTCCTGCCTCGGGGAGTCCACCCGGGAAATGTCCTCTTTCCCCGTGGCCCGATCCCCGCCTGCCTCCAGGCCTCGGCCCCAAATACGCCTTCCCCAAAGAGACCCTCCCCAGCCGGGCGCGGAGGCTCACGCCTGTCATCCCAGCACTCTGGGAGGCCGAGGCGGGAGGATCCCTTGAGGTCAGGAGTTCGAGACCAGCCTGAGCAAGAGCGAGACCCCGTCTCTAGTACAAATAGAAAGAAATTAATTGGCCAACTAACATATATAGAAAAAATCAGCCAGGCATGGTGATGCATGCCTGTAGTCCCAGCTACTCGGGAGGCTGAGGCAGGAGGATCGTTTGAGCCCAAGAGTTTGAGGTTGCTGTGAGCGAGGCTGATGCCACGGCACTCACTCTAGCCCGGGCGACAGAGTGAGACTCTGTCTCAAAAAACATAAAGTAAAATAAAAATATATAGAAAAAATTAGCTGACGCCGCGGCACTCACTCTAGCCCGGGCGACAGAGCGAGACTCTGTCTCAAAAAAAAAAAAGAGACCCTCCCCGACACCCCCTAGCCCCCACCGTCCCCGCACCACGTCCCCAGGTGAAATTGAGGCAGCGTCTCCAGCCCTGGTTTTTTCTCCATTTCCTTCCCCGCATCCGCTGGGCCCGTGGGCGTGGGCTGTTTGTGTCTGGCCTCCGCGGCTGTGGAGCTGGAGGTGAGCAGGCGTTGCCGGCGGCCCCAGGGTGGGGCCTCGGCGAAGGCGACAACACCTTGTTGCCTTCCACCCATGCGGAGCCGGACTCCTCACGCTTTCCCAGATGTGACAGGGCAGCCGCTTACCTCATGTTGACATAACTTAGGGTGGCAAGTCAAGCGCGCTGTTCTGGAACGAGCCGAGCCGAGGCCTCTGCAAGGTGACTGCCGCCGCCTGCCCGGCGCCCCCGCCGCCCCGCACGTGGGGCTCTGGCTGCCGCCTCCGCCGGGTCCCTAGCCCGGAGGTGCGCGCGCTCAGGTGAGCGGCCAGAGCCCGCCCTGCGTCCAGGCTCCGGGTCTCCGGGCCCAGAGTCAGAAATGCACACGACGAAAGATTGCGGTCGTAGCCACGGCCAAAAGAAACGTGCCCAGGCTGGAAACCGGGTCACGGAGGCGCAGTAACGCTCCTGGCCGATTGAATAGGGCTTCTCGGGGGAGGTGGCATTTAAGCAGCGTTCTAAAGCTTGGAGTCAGCTGGGTAAAGAGAGGCAGGCAAGGCTGTGCTGGGCAGGGGGAAGGGCGTATGTGTGGCTGTGAGTGTAAAGTGAGAAAAAAGCAGGCCTGACTCCCGGTGGTTCCCGCCCGTATTCCTAGCAGCACTTTGGGAGGCTGAGGATCCCTTGAGGTCAGGAGTTTGAGACCAGCCTGGGCAACATAGCAAGACCCCATCTCTACAAGAAATGGATCAGCTGGGTGTGGTGGCAACGAGTGCAGCCCGAGTCCCAGCTAACGGGAGCTGAGGCAGGAGCTGGCTTGAGCCCAGGAATTCGAGGCTACGGTGAGCCATGGCGGGCCCACCGGCACTCCAGCTGGGCGAGAAAGGAACCCTGCCCAGTCTCAAAGAACAACAACAACAACAAAAAGCAACCGATCTCTGCCGCAGCGGGATTGGCCTGCACTCCACAGCGAAGCCTGGAGTCTCCGTGCGCTGAGCACAGAGCTTCTCCCGCCGCAGCATCACAGGGCCCGTCCTCGACCAGGAGGGGGGCGCAGGACACGCGACAGCCCTCCGCACTCATGTCCTGACCACAGGTGCAAACAGGGCACTGTCCAACCACAGACTGGCAGACTCTCACCTTCCGGCGCGGAGCACTCCTTGATCAACGACCCCCGTCGAGCCGTTCACTTCCCCTGCCTCCTAGCGGGGAAACGTACCCCTAAGGAAGTGTCCCTACTTGCTACTTGCATCCGATCCAGAGCATCGTGCCACTTTTCTTTTTTTTCTTTTGCTTTTTGAGACAGATCCTCTGTTCGCACGGCGTAGCAGTGATGCCGTGGCGTTCACCCCGCTTCCAGCCAACCTCAGACTCCTGCCAAGCGATCCTCTCCTCAGCCTCCCCGAGTAGCGGAACCCTACAGGCATGCGCCACCATGCCCGGCTAATTTTCATATACCTATATTTTAGGGCTGTCCAAGTAATTCTTTCCTATTTTTTAGTAAGAGGACCGGGTTCGCTCTTGCCAGGCTGGCGACATTGAACTCCTTGACCTAGACCGATCCTCCGTCTCGGCTCCCCTGAGTGCCTGGGATTTGACAGCGTGAGCCCTCCTCCGCCCGCCTCCATTCACTGTTCACACGGAAAAGGCGAGTTTTGTGAGTGGTGGGTGACACACACACCCGCGGAAACAGGCCACCCTTCCCCACCCGCGCCCTAGCCCGGAAGTCCTCGGGCGCGGAGGCGAGCCGCCAGGTCCAGCCTCTCCCCTCTGTCCTCCTCCGCCCGGCCCCAGCTCCCGGCCCTCCCTTAGAGCCAGGGGCATCGCAGCGGTCCCGGTCCCCAAAGCAAATGTTTGAGCAATGACCGAATTCAACCAACACCCTGAGCTGTCGTGGGAGGTGACGGGCCAGGTGGGCAGACTGCGTGGAGGGGTGACCCAACGTCCCCCGAGTCAACAGCCTCGTCCTGCTCCAGGCCGCCCCCGTCTCCTCGGGACGCATCTGCGGGGCTCCCGGGCCCGTTGCCTTTCGGGTGTGGGTCTCCTTTCGACGAGCAGCCGCGGCGGGCCAACCGCTTCCCCCACATCAGATACGGGCCTCGCCCGCTGCGGGGCCTCTCCCGGCTCGGAACCGTCCGCTTCCTCCTCCCGCGCACCCGTTGTTGCAGGTCAGGGAGGGGAGGCTTGGCGTGAGGGGCCCGCCCAGCACGTAAGCAGCAAAGCCGAGACTGGAACCCTGGCCGGGCTCGGTGGCTGACACCTGTCATTGCAGCACACTGGGAGGCCGAGGCAGGAGGATCGCTTGAGGCCAGCCTGGACAACATAGTGAGACCCTGTGTCTCCTCTTTTTTTTTTTTTTTGAGACAGAGTCTCGCTTTGTTGCCCAAGGCTAGAGTGAGTGCCGTGGCCTCAGCCTCGCTCACAGCAACCTCAGACTCCTGGGCTCAAGGGCGATCCTCCTGCCTCGCCTCCCGAGTAGCTGGGAACTACAAGCATGCGCCACATGCCCGGCTCATTTTTCTCTATATACTATTAGTTGGCCAATTAATTTCTTCCTATTTATAGTAGGAGACGGGCTCTCGCTCTTGCTCAGGCTGGTCTCAACTCCTGACCTCGAGCGATCCGCCCGCCTCGGCCTGCCAGAGTGCGTGGGATTACAAGGGCCTGGCTTCTTGGACAGCTCCCCTGCTGCACCAAAGCAGCAGGAATTCAGGGCCTGGCCCTGGGCCTGGGCTGCAGATGCCAAGGTCAGTGGGGAGACGGAGGCAAGCCTGCGGCCCCGTGGAGCGGTCGGTCCCAGGACTTGAGGCCCGGGGAGGTGAGGAGGCGGGGGCGTGCCGCCCAGGCTGCTGAGGCGGGCAGCTGCCCCTCCGCGACGGGTTCGGTGGGCCTGGGGGCTGCGCCGAGGGTCCCAGCGCTGAGTTTCCCCCAAGGCCCCAGGACGCGCGGGCTCAGCTGCGGGGCCGAATGCCGGGAAGGGGTCAGGAGCCCCGGTGCCTGCAAAAATGCCGACTAAAATAATTAGCAAGTCGGGCACAGCTGCGCTCTGAAAGACGCACCTGCCCGGCAGCACGCAGGGCTCATCCAAAGAGGCAGGGAAAGGCCAGCCTCGGAAGCGGCTTCGTGAAGTCCACGGGGAGATGAAAGGAGAAAACACCACGATGGTCAGTCGCTCGTGCCGCGAAAACATCGGATAAGATGCAGCAAACACTTTCGCTAAGCTTTTTTTTTTTTTTTTTTTTGTTTTTTTTTTTTGGAGACAGAGTCTCACTCGTTGCCCAGGTAGAGGTGGTGCCTGTGGCGTCCAGCTCGCTCCAGAACCTCAGACTCCATGGGTCAAAGTGATCGCTCCTGCCTCAGCCTCCTCCGGAGTAGCGTGGGACTACAGGCATGCCGCCACCACGCCCGACTCATTTTTTGTATATAATTTTTAGTTGGTCAATTAATTTCTTTCTATTTTTAGTAGAGACGGGGTCTCGCTCTTGCTCAGGATGGTTTCGAACTCCGACCTCAAGCAATCCGCCCCCCTCGGCCTCCCACAGTGCTAGGACGACAGGCGTGAGCCACCGCGCCCGGCCACACTTCCTAAGCTTTTTTAAAAAGTTCTCATTAGGCCGGGCACGGCGGCTCACGCCTGTCGTCCTGGCACTCTGGGAGGCCGAGGCAGGTGGATCGCTCAAGGTCAGGAGTTCAAGACCAGCCTGAGCAAGAGCGAGACCCCGTCTCTACTAACAATAGAAAGAAATTAATTGGCCAACTAAAAATATATGTAAAAAATGAGCCGGGCGTGGTGGCGCATGCCTGTGGTCCCAGCTACTCGGGAGGCTGAGGCCAGGGCACTCTAGCTCAGGCGACAGAGCGAGACACTGTCTCAAAAAAAAAGGAGGTGGAGGCTGCAGTGAGCTGTGATGACGCCAGTGCACTCCAGCCTGGGCGACAGAGCAAGACCGGTCTCAAAGGAAAAAAGAATGAACGAAGGAAAAATACACAAACGTAGAAAGCCCAGGAACAAGCCGGCCAATTCGCGCCTGGATACTTACCCCGAGAGAAATGAGCTGAGCGCACCCTCTGTGGTTCCAGGTGGACGCGGATTTGGGGTTCAGCCCAGTACAGGGAGCTCCGCTGCCAGGCGGGCAGGGCATGGCCCTCCCCAGGGAAAGGGGAGCCCTGGTAGGTGCGTGAGCAAGGGCCTCGCCGGCCCGGCTGGCCGCCTCCCTGCCCCAGGGAGCGGAGCGGAGGAGGGGCGGAGGGCACCGACTTGCGCTGGTTCAATACCGAGTTTTCAACCTTATGACGGTGGGAAAGCCATACAAATTCCACAGAAACCATACTTTGGGGCGGCATTCAACAAGTTATATGAAGGCCGAGGCGTGCTCATGCTGCATCTAGCTTTGGGAGGCCGAGCGGGCAGATGGCTTCAAGGTGCCAGGATTCGAAACCCAGCCTTAGAGCGAGAGCGAGAACTGCGTCTCTACAAAATGAAAGAAAGTTACATTGCCCACTTAAAGAGTATATATAAAAAAAATTAGCCGGGCGTGGTGGCGCAGTGCTGTAGTCCCAGCTGATCGGGGAGGCTGAGGCAGGAAGGATCGCTGGAGCCCAGGAGGTTTTGGAGGTTGCTGTGAGGCGAGCTGACGCCACGGCACTACTCTAGCGCTGGGCGACAGAGCAAGAGCTCTGTCCTTCCAAAAAAAAAAAAAAAAAATCAAGCTTATATCAGACTATTAAGCACTTTATTAATAAAATGACTCTTTGTGCCCTTAGAGAATTTTTGCCCAGCCTGGTTACGTTTTACGATCTGGGCACGCTTGTTTTTGTTTTGTTTTTCAGAGACAGGGTCTTGCTCTGTCACCCAGGCTGGAGTGCAGAAGCAATCTCAAGGTTCACTGGCAGCTCCAACTCCTGAGCTCCCAAACGATCCTTCCTGCACTCACCTCCAAATAGCTTGGGACTACCAAGCCACTGACCAACCCCACGCCAGCTAGTTTTCTCCTATAATTACTTGATAGAGATGAGGTCCTCGCTACAATGGTTGTCAGGCTAAGTCTCAAACTCAACCTGCCAAAGTGCTGGCATGCCGGGCGTGAGCCACTACGCCCGGCCCTCTGGGCACAGTTCAGGTAGGCCCCCCAGGCCTACAGCTGTTGGGTTGTTAGGTTATCGTATTAAATGCAAGTTTTTTTTTTTTTGAGACAGTCTCCATCTGTCCCCCAAGCTAGAGTGCGGTGGCGTCAGCCTGCTCAACAGCCACCCTCCAGACTCTGGGCCTCAGGCGATCCTCCCTGCCCTCAGCCTACCCCGAGTAGCTGGGATTACAGGCATCGCGCCACCATGCCCGCGCTGGATTTTTTCCTATGTATTCTTTAGATTGCTTCAAATTAATTTCTTTCCTGACATTTATAGTAGAGACCGGGGTCTGGCTCTTGCTCCAGGCTGGTCTCGAACTCCTGACCCTTTGAGCGATCCACCCGCCTCGGCTCCCAGAGTGCCGGGATACAGGCGTGGAGCCCCTCCTGCGCCCGCCTAGTTAAGATGCAATTTGACTTCAATCATTTTCAATCCCTACACATGAGTTTGTCGTGGGCGCGGGGGTGACCCTGTCGCCCACGTGCGACGTGAACTCCTTGGCTAGCTTGGGCGCAAGACCTATGCGATGTCAGTATTCCAGCT